AAATGGCTTCAAGTTCAGACAGGGTAGGTTTAGGGTAGATGTCAGGAAAAATCTTTTACGGCAAGGGTAATGAGGCACTGAAACTGCAAAAGTGCCTCATCAATTTAATCCACTGTTGAGTCCCAATTACACACACCAGCTCCATAAATGCTTAAGAATTTAGTGGTGTCCACTAGGGGCTTACAGAACATCTTCCAAGATGTTAAAAACCACAGTGATGCCTGCTCACCACAAACACATAGCCAACAGCCAGATGAGAAGGCAGAGTAGTATTTCAAGCTACAGGCAACAACCTGAGGAGCCCCAAAACAAAAGCATTTGAACTCTCAGCTTCGAGTTCATTCTGGCTTTGTGCTTCACATAGCATCTGCTTAGATTTTCACTTTCAAACAATTCTGTCATTAAGAAATAAAAACTCAGCTGACATGAAAAGCAGGGCATGGGGAGCTATGGCCGGCCATATAACGCCAGCAGACATCTACCACTCCTCTGAAACCAGTTCTTCCATCTAGAACTACCAGCAAAGACCAAAACATTTGAGAACCCTAGAAACTACCACCTCTATAACAGGCTTTAAATTCAGACTCCGCTGTAGTAAATGCAGTTCCTGTCTTTGGAACTTCGTAATCCACAAACTAACAGGATAGCACGTTCAAACAAGAGAACACCATTTCTGTAAGAGTTTGAGATAATCACAGGTGATACCAAATTGTTAACACAGAATTACCTTTGTTAATTTGGCAATGTTATGTTATGACTTGAGAACAGTTGTCTCAGTGACAGGGAAACCAGAAATCTGAACACTGATAAAGTTATCGGAACTACATGGACTTGCACAGATGTCTGCCTGGTTTCCTTGCTCTGGAACACATTTAAAAGCAAAACTGTAACCTGCACCTACGAAAGGTACATGGAAATCCCAGCTCACAAGTTTAAATAAGATGGGTTTCAAAACCGTCTTCCTAAGTTCTTCCCTCTCCTATACCTTTGTCTTACCTGAAGATTCAGTATGTGAAATCAGTGAAATTTGTTTTGGAATTAAAGCCATGCTCTTACAATACTATGCTACTATTTTTATAGCCACATTAATAAGCATTTGCAAGATGTGAAAAGGCAGCATTACTTACCATCTAGTAATTCCAGAGTAACTGAAGGATCTACATATTCCCACCAGTGTTTTCCATCAGTTGATACTGGAATCTCCCAGTTGGACCACTTGCAGGCCAAGTGAATGCACACACAAGCTATCACTGTAGGCTTGTATTGAAGACAGAACGTAGTAAGGTGAAGACTGTTGCACACAAATTTTGTAATGAGGAACCAAAGGAAATCAAACATGTAAAACAAGAAAACCAAACAAATCAGCCATTAACACACAGCTTAAGATCATTTGTCAAACAACAGCAGTTAAACAGCAGCAGTTCATGGAACATTTTTCTGTTTAAATTCTTAAGGTGCCTTACTGCCTTAGTAAAACAAAGGGCAAGGCATTTATCTGACAACGTTTAATTTGCTGTTCCTGTAAAAAGACCGGTTAATAGTAAATAAATTCACCACTTTTTTACATAAGTACTAAAAAAGAAATTAGTGTAATATGGACAATTAAAATTATAACTACACTAAAGGAAAATACAGTTCATTATACAGTCCTCGATTTAGATGATTAGATGAAGATACCCAAAGTTTCACAGAGGCCAAGTGAATTACTTTTGAGCTTAGCTTTCACCATGCCTGAGTTTGCGGTACTTGTGAACTCAACTGTAGCTTCCAGCTGGCAGCAGCACAGAGGCTTCGGTTCAGCTTCACTGCTTCATTGCAGCTTAACAGCTACTTCAAATACAGAAATCTGCCCACTAAAGAACCACCAAGAAATGTTTGTCTGGAATAACTAACCAACCGGTAGATGTTACTTAAATACTAGATAGATCTAGTGTAATCCTAATAAAGTGCAACGTTGTCTTGCAAGAAATAAACTGCAGTCATCATGAAATCAACACTAAAGCCTACTCTCAAATTCTGTCTTTCTACAACAGCCTATCCATACACAGTCTCCATCTGGAATCAATTAACTTCAAATTTATGGAAGTACTTAAGTTTTAAAACACGTATTTAAGATTAAAGAGCTGTTTCTAAAAGGAAGAACACTGGATTACTTCTAGTCTATTTGAAATGAAAGAAAAAATAAAAAAATAAAATCAACCAGATGAAAAGACTTCAGGCCCACTACAATTTTATAAGTTAAGACTGGATCAACATATTTAAAGTTAAGAGAAAACTGCCATTAACTAGAAGTGTAAACTAAAAATAATTTTGTACTTACCAAGATCCTCGAATTTCTAGGTTAAGTTTAGCTCTCTGTAATCTTTAGCTGCTATTCAGGCTACCAATTTTAGACTTATGCACTCACAATCGAGAAAATGTCATCAGAAAGCACCACTACACTTCTCATTGTGCATTTAACCCCTTTGTGCCATCAAGCCCTTGTACAATACACCGCACTGCAAACAGAAAGGTACCACCACTGTAGATGGCCCAGTCTCCTGTTGCAACAAGGGTAAGACACATGTAGGGGGCCCTGCAGTAAAGGAAGCTATAGTGTGCTACAACAGTGCAACAAAGAGGTTCAGGATAACAACCTGTTGGTAGCCATGAAATAGGATGTCTGTGCCAAATCCTTGCTTGCTGTAAGAAAAAGAAAAACAAAGTGGTTAAGGATCTATGCTAACTTATCAGGTTCATTCCAAAATTAAAAGTTTTTACCTTCCAAAAGCACCATTTACTATTTTCACAGAACTGACTTGAATTTAACTAGCTAGCCTTTTAAGTCTTTCCAAGGTACAAAAGTGTCCATTACATTAACTGGAGATGGACCAGACCTTTGGTCCACTGACTCTCCCTTCACTCAGCCCACAGAACTGTTTCCCTTTCCTTATCTACCCCCACTAAAGCCTCATACATGAAAGCACTCTTCTAGAAATACTTGACTCCCTCCCCCCACCCAAACAGCAGACTGCAGCAAGGCAGTCTATAAAAACCAAACACTACAATGCAAGTTCTGCTCTTTGAGAGGAACATGACAGTATGGCTGGAGAACCCACCTCCCCCCATAAAACTGTAACCACGTTTCTCCCCAGAACCTCAGAACACGGCTCCCAAGCTAGATGGTTAGAAAAACAAGCTTTCTGCTCCCTCTAATCAAGAGCACAGTACTCGTATCATTTTCTTCCACACTTGTTAAACCTGTGTCAAAGCTTCTGATAAGTAGTAAACAACTGCATTTTTGTCAGAAAAAAGTATGCAAGAGACTGCAACATACCACAGACAAAAAGCCAATGACTTACACTGTTACAACCATCTAGCATTGACCCCTACCAGTGAAACCCCAGTGATCCTCACTCAAGTAAAAGAACTTACTGTAACATGTACATAATGGGATAGCTGGGCACAATGGTATTAACTGAAGATTGAATGCAGCCTTCATTGAATTCTTACTTTGACGCTATCACTTGAAATCAGTGCTACCTGCAGAAAGTGTATTGTTGAATTTTATGTCAAAGGGTATACTGTCACAAAACTTTATTTTAAATGATCTTTCGATTAAATTTGAGAAATACTGCAGTGGCCTTTAACATTTAATAAAAAAGAAGTGTATTAAAATCATGATTTAGCTATTTTTAATGATTGCCAAAGAGTATAAATCAGGTTTTTCTCCACGCTACGCAGATAGACAATGCCACAATCTGAAAATAACATGGAAGGAATGAGGTAACAGGATCCACTCCTGCACACAAATTCTGCTAATCCATGATAATCAAAAGGCGAGCTACGTGACAGGGTTATACTATAATTAGTTTGCAAACTACGGTGGTAGTTTATGCCAGATAACCATGGAGTTCAACCTTTTCCACTCCCTTTCATAAAAAAAAAAAAAAAAAAAAAAGTACAAGGCAATACTACTGAAAAGAAAAACTAAACTAAGATCATAAAAACAAATGAAAACACAGAATGGTTTAACAAGACTGAAACTGATGTCTTGCTCTTTGTTTTTCAAATTAATGTCTGAAGGACCTTCAATAATTTCTACGTTCTGGACAGTTACAGTATGTTGTAATTAAGGGACTGGACCAAGAGGCATCTCTACTCTTAGTGAAATGGCACTTTCAAAAAAGGAAGAAAAGCAGATGCCAGAAAACTTGTATTTAACATCAGCTTGAAAGTTGAGTAAATCAAAACACATACCTGGAAGAAAAGAATCACATCTTGAAACAAACATTTTTAGCCTCAATAAAAAAATTAATGCGATAAATACCTTACCTACACTACAAGCAGTATCATACTTGTTTGAATGGATTTACAGCTAAATAACCAACACTGCCAAAACCAGAAGGAAGTTCAGCTCAATAATTAAAAGTCTCTGTAAAGACAAGGCACAATTGAAAACAACTGTCCCAAACTCTTCTCTTACATTTAGAGCAGTTCTTCTGCAGTACAGTCTGCCCACTAAAATTAAAACTAATAAATCCTGGTTCCTATATTTCCTTTATAGCAAAGTGGAGGAAAGTTCATTCCCAAAATCGTATTAAGTACAGAGGTTAAAACAAGCCAGCACAGCTTGCCTGTTACAACTGGTAAGATGTAGGGCAGATGACTGATATCGGACATTAATAATCAATTTCATATTTTTTCATTCAGGAGTGATTTAAAAAACTTACCCTGTCTCACTGCTGCAGAAGCAACTGTAAGGCAGGGGATTACTTAACCAAGATTTTGAAACAGGACTGGCTGTCTGATACAGCTCCCAGAAGCCTACTGACTCCAAGCAATTCCCAATGCAAAGCAAATACGTTTTTTATTGGATATGGTCACACAGATAAACTGATGCAACTCCAAGATATTCTCATTCTTTTCTTCAACACTAAATTTAACTTTGATCTTGACATAATCATGAAAATGCAATTGCCAAGTTATCCTTTGGAGCACAGTGGCTGGGACCCTGAGAAAACGTGCAAGCATCCCCAGAAAAAAAAAAAAGACCAGGGATAAGCCAATCAATATCAGAAGACTAGAAGGCTGCTGAAATAGTTGTGAGGGGAAAAAAAATCCACAGGCCTCTGAATGGAGCTGTTGGCAGACACTTGTTTTACCTAAAAAGGACTGGAGGAGGCCATAGCATAGGTCTTCAGGTCTGATCAGTCCTGGCAGCTTTATTTTTTGGAAGCTGCTAAACCTTGCGAACAGGCTTGTAAAAGACTGAGGTGAAAGTTCAGAATGTAAAAGGTGCCTGTAGCATGGCTTGAGTACAGCTCACATCTAAGATTTTTTCCACACCACTGTACTGAGATCTAAGTTGTCCTCAAATTGATCTCTTCTGCAGACTTGATAAGCCTGATTTAACCCCACTATGGTTTGCTTGAAGAACTTGACAGTGCAATTTCCACAGATGACTAGAGTAAGGATCATGGGAGTTCAAGATACCTTATAACCTGCAGAGTTGCGAGAACAATCTTAGAAATTCTTGTGATTCCACCTTCAGTTCCAAAAGAAGGTTGTGTATCAACACAAAAAAAGGAATGATGGAAGACTTCCCAAGATGAAGATAAGGAGACAGATTTCTCCCTTCACCATATGCAGCTAAGAACAGACTGAGTGTGCACCAGAGCTTAAGAGGACACTGTGATGGTCTTGGCTCTAGGGCAGTTTTACTGCTCAACTAGAATTCAAGCCAGTGAAGGTAGTTCGGCACAAATCAAAATGATTGATTTTATTGTTCTTCTTCCCTTTTTCTCTTCATCATTGGAGCATCCTTGGAGTGGGCACTGAAGCTTGCCTTTATGGATCCACTGCCCCAGATTCCTTAGAAGACCTGTGAGATCCTAAGGAATGATGGTCCTGTCTCCTCTTCTCAGTCTCTTGACACTGAGGAAGAATGGTGCAGAAAACAGACTGAGCCCAGACCCATCCTTGACTACTATACTGACTAAACCGTAAAGATGGAACAATTTTATGAACCCATGAAACTCTGAACGCAAGAATAACATCTTACACCTAAACACCCTGATCAACATATACAAACACACACAAACCCAGTCACCCCTTACCAACACTAATCTATTTTGTCTACTATGACTTTCAAGAAGGGTTTCAATCTTGAGGCAAATTAAACTTTTCCTTTACTTGTAAATTCAAGCAGATTAAGTTTATTAGCACCAGTTCCCACTTACTAGATCAGCTTCCAACAGTTTTTTTTTTTCCCTGTCTGGAGGGTCTTCTGACAAAGGACTTTGTTGGAACTTTTGAACCTCATCAACGGAATATAATTTTTTAAAGGAAACATCTTACAGACTAACACAGGTAACAGTGAGAGCATGAAGCACACCACTCTGGATGCAAGATAACAAAAAGTGATAGAGGGAATCAGGCATCTTCTTAGCTCCTTCATTAAGGAGCTTCATTCATTCATTGCTCAAGGAAATGTTGGATTGTTTGAGGAACAGTTGGATTTTGTGTTGAGGGACATGGTTTAGTGAGTACTATTGGTGATAGGAGGATGTTTGGACTGGATGATCTTGAAGGTCTTTTCCAACCTTGGTGATTCTGTGATTAAATGTAAGTTTAAGCCAGCTTTTCTGAGAGAGCAGGGCATTTTCTCCTGACATGATAATTCAGCGCACGCGTGCTGAGCCAAAAAGCCTCATTAAGTCACTCAGGACTTGTTAAGTCCTCAGCTAACTTTGCACCCTCTGACAGTTAAACAGTCAGCCAAGTTATCTTCTTCCCTTCCCTCTCCTTTCAAAGATACTGTTGAAGGTTTTGATCATAATAATCTTGGATGAATGAATCTCCTTTAATATAAGACGAACTTACTTTGCCTTCTGGAATAATCACCAGAACCACATGAAGTAACCCTACATTGCTTTAACTTCTCAATCAATCTCTTCAGCATTGAGGGCTTACCACAGACAGTGGTTTTCAGTATACACTGAAAGCTTCAGGACTGGATATCCAAATCTAGAACCTATCTACATTAAAGCAACACTGTCCAAGAAGTAGATATTAAGAGAGAAAACTCAAATCATATCACAGTATCACTGCCAGAAATCCATCTTTATCCACTCAATACAAACAGCTAAGATTCCACAGTAATTATTCTGAATTAACTTTCAAACATCACTACATTTTTCACGTTTCATGATTTAAATTTATGGTTTTTTGCCATGTCTAAAAATTAGGTATTCAAGTCTCGCGTTCACAGCCCATACCACCCCAGGGGGGGAATATGCTAACAAGAACTCTATTCATATATGTACACACACTAAGAAGCACACCTACCCAGCTCAGTAGCTTTTCAAGCAACAATTGTATTAAATTCATCTTGCACCAGTTCTTGAGGCGTGCAGACTTCCATTCCTCAGTGAAGTCCTCAGATTTCAAAATTTCATATCATTTTGAATTTTAAGTACTTTGTTAAGCTGCACTGACATTAAATACTAGCTTTAAATTTTAAAGTTTTAATCATAACATGTACCTTCAGCGCACCAACTGTTAGTACACAAAAGTAGCAGACAGCACACACAGGAAACAGCTGAACTGTAGAGCAGTATCCACCCCTGACTAAAGGAAATGAAGTTTACATAACAGTGACTGTAAGCTTCCATCAGACACACGCACGAATGTGGAAGTCCTGAACTATTCACACTACTGCTTACCACTGCCTTCCTGCTCCCCCCAGACACTGAGATGAAGCACAGAGGCTCACGCTTATCAATGAAATGTGCTTACATTTATGTTGGCCAACAGCTAAGAAAACTCAAGGCAAAACCTTACAGAGCTGCCAATGCAATCTATTAAGACACTAGCTGCAATTATGCACTGAGTCACAATCAAATCTGGACAGAAAGCAAAGAATGCTGCAATACCCAAGGTTGCAATAAAGCTACTTCGTATGCAAATAAGCTACATACAACACCAGCTCTCCTCAAATTCTAGTAAGCTACTTTAAAGTGAGAAAGAAGCTTTTTTTCCCTTTCAAAGAACAACCTTACTTCTAGAATCACTACAAAACAAGCCTAAGTCAACCTGGTTATGTTGTACCTACCCTTCTGATATTTCACAGGGGGAGGAAGACCTTTGAAGAACTTAAACTTAGCTATTCTTCACTGAGACAACAGTTAATGACTAAAGGTCAGCAACTACAGCCTAATCATTCCCAAGCATTTCTTAAATTAAGGGATATGTTTTAAAGCAAAAAGCCTATTTTATCAGCCTTTTCAATTGATTCCCCAATACCCATCCCTTATAAGAGATTTTTTTTTTTTTTTTTTTTGAAGATCTGAAGGAAACAGACTTAAGAATTAAATGCGTGTCAAAACTCAACAAAAATACTGAAAAAATTTCTAGCTGGAGTCTCATTCATGAGCTGCATGCAAGTTAGAGGATGCACAAAACAAAAGGTTAGGAGTTTGTTACCACCTAATCCAAATTAGTACGCTACTTTAGAAAAACAATTAGTCACATCGGTAAGTATTCACATGTGATAGCAGACTTGGTATGTACTCTGTATATCCCACAGCTTGTGAGGTTTGATAAAGTTGAAAGCTTAGCATTAGCCATTACTTAACACAAACTGTGAAACTACTTCAGAGTGAAAATCAACCCAGAATTTAGATTTCAACTAATAACTGCTTTGTAATTTGAGAAGACATGGAACAGATCACTCAATCAAATTTATTAAGTAAGCAAAAAATTCATAAAGGACAGAGAAGTGGACTCTTCAAACTCTAAATGTTAAGAGCAGGCTTTTAGGAACTAGCTTTAAACAAACTTTGGACAACATAGTAGATGATCATATTACACAAATAACATCTTCAAATTTCACTATAAAGGCAAAAAAAGAGAGCTTACACAAGGGGATATAAGCCACTGACCTCTCACTAATTGCGTGCATTTCACAACATCTGTGTGCGGATGTTCAATGGTAATCTCAAAACCTTAAGAGTTAAGAACATATTTTAGAACAACACATTTTCATCTGTAAAATACACAGAAAACTCTTCCTTTTCCCTAAGACTAATACTTGCAAAACCTTCCCAACACAGATCACGGAACACTCTAAGTACCTTCTATTCTGCATCCTTTCATATTGTTGATGGTAAACAGTAGAGCCCTTCAAAGATCAATATTCCTGCATTACTCTCAAGTTCTGTATAGTATCTGTGAAGCTACTGCATTTTTAAAGAACGACATAAGAACAGTTTCCAGTACATCTGTAAGTCAGCACAAGCTGTATCACGGACACTGAAATGTGTGCACGTGCATGCACTTTATTCAATCATTTCTGGGACTAACAGACATGTTGCATCCATGAGATTACCAACTAAGACAATTTATAGGCCAGTCACTCCAGAAAGCTATCTTTGTTTATAGAACTATTTTAAAAAATGGATCACTACTATTAACTTTTTTTTTTTTTTTCTTTTTTTTAATCACACACACTCAGTGGTATTTAAGTCAGTGTTCTCAGGCCTGCCAGTTTTGTCTTTATTGACATCACTTTAAAGCTAAAACAACTTCTTATCAGATTCTGGAATTACCTGAATCCATTAAACAGTAACAATGCACATTTTGATGTTCAGAGGCAGTAACCCTATGCAATCACATTTTTCTATTAAAGACAAAATGGGGAAGAACATTTGGCATGAAGCTTTTACCATTTGCTTCAGAACACACACAGCTATCTTAGTACATGCTACCTCACATAAAGAAACATCAACACCATTACTATTATTTTGATGGGTATACTTCTTTACTCCATCAAAAAACTATCCAAACATTTGAGAAGTACTGGTATAACATTTCTCTCCAGAATGAGCACAATATGGAACTAGACTCACAAGTTACATGCAAAAACTAGTGAAATTTTAATATACTAGCAGTGCATCAAAAAAAATTTGCTACCTGGGTCCCATTACTGGTTCATGAGAAGCTGGCTGCACAAAAGGTATTTAGGAAGACATACCTAAAGTTTGAAGCATTATTGTTTCAAGTATAACCAGCTCTTGAGCTTGCTGAAGATATGCCTAAAACAAACAAGCAAACACATCAAGACACAGGTATTTATTGTCTCGATATTTCAATTATACACTTCCTTTTTAACTAATAGGCATGATCAATATAAATTAAAGAGCACTACCCATGTCACAGAGCACTGACAATTCACAATGCTTCACTGTATCTATTAGTATGTTCTTGCAAGTTTAGTTATACCAGCTTAACCACCCCTGGCAGCAAAGTTTCTTTACCCTGGATTTGATACTTGTAGCAGAGTGGGTTTTTTTTTTTTTTTTTTTTTTAAGAGAGTGGGGGACATGAGACACATTGTGGAGGCTTGCCAGTACAAACTAACTCAAGTATCTCTAAGGAGGTTATGACAAGTACATTAAAATACAGCTGGACACACCCAACCAGCCTTAGTCTGGGCTCAAATACGTATCTAATACAGCTCCGTGTGTCACTTCATGAACAGGGAGCATGGCAAATAGTTTTGATTGCCAGTTCAGACCCAGCAGGGCATAACTAGCTCAGCCAGACCATTACGCAGAGTAACTGATGCATTTCCCCCTTACTTGCTCATACACACGGTTCTAAGAAGCATCATAAAAAGAAATAAAACTAAGCGAGAGCTGCACAAAGTCTGGCAAATGCAAGGAAGACCAAACGTACAGCAGAGATGACATCTGTATGGCATCCCTTAAAACACAGTGTAGAAAATGGCACACAGTAAGCCTCAGATTGAATATTTCTTCGTCAGCATCTTGAAGTCTACATGAAGCACGAGACTTACAGAACCACACATGAAACCTCTTTAATGCCTTGTTTAGACTCCTACTATACCAGTCTTAGCAATAATGCAAGTTCAAGGACTGTCATAACTCTGTCCAACTGTCATAACTCAAATATTCCAGTGCTCAATTAGCTTCATTAAGTAATACAAGAGATCTGTATTACTTAATAGTTCAAACAAGTTTTTTCTCATTTGTAGATAGCAATAATCCAGTCAAGACAATGCAGCAGCTCATGAGACAAAGCATCATCTGAATATCTTTAAATCATGACTTTGACCTACATCACACTTTGTATCCAGTTGTGGCTCGTGAGGATGAAGACACGCATTTACTACTTTAATTACATGTTCCAGCTTCCGTGGCTGTTCTTCCACTTTCGCAGCCAAGAACAATGCCGTAGGAGATATAATCTGAAGAAGAAAAACACGTGTACTTTTTACAAATAGGACTTAAATTTTCAATGGAAAGTGTAAGCTAATAATTAGAAAAGGTTTAGACGTTGAATTATCTGTTTTTAAGCAGTTCCAAAATCATGGAAGATGGTAAAAGTAACTCATCATGCTTTAATCTGTAAGTGATGCAATCTTCCCAGGAGTAGCATGGCATGTGAAAGGAGTAGCATAAAAGCTAAATTGCATTATATTAACATAAAAATAACAGATTTTGTCCAGTAGATTTAGTCACACCAGAACACACTTTTCAAGCTAAATACACTTGATGAGAAAGTTCATCTAAGTTCTAGCATAGTCATGAGCCATCACAGCACTTTTTCAATAATAGTCAAAAAAGCTGAGATCAAGTTCTGATAACATGTGTTTCTCCTAAAAAGCAAGCAACTTGGCAGAGAACTTTTAAGAAAAACAGCTCACATAACTAACTATAGGTTATACAAATACAAGTACAGTAAGCATAACATCACAGCACAGCCACTGATTAAACAAAGAATTTTACTCCCAGAAATTTTTCTATATACCCAGCTGTATCTGGAGGGCAAAGCACAAAGACTCACAAAACACCAGTTATATCAAGCATTAGCAAAGACAAGTTACAAATGAAGACAGCAGTTCTATAGAACTCTAGGTATCCTGAGTTGGCAGCAAACCACCAGTTGACAGTTCCGTATCACCTACAATGAAATGGAGTTTTCATGCCTAGCTGTCAGCTATAACAACTGATTTGTACACAAATACGGCTAACCACAAATGACTTAAAAGAATCACGGTCCTCTTCGTATGCAAAAGTTGCCCACATTAAATTCCAATTAAAAATGGCAGAAATCTTCATGTAGATATCAGCAGATTAGATTAGTTAGAATTAAGCACTTATTTAGTAATTCAAAAATAGCTGCTTGATGAGTGTTTAATTAATGCATAGTGCTCATAGAGCAAGTACTGGATTTCTATTTAATCACTCCATAAAACTAGAACTGAATGAGTTGAACCACAGTCATACTTCCCCCTATATTTTTTCTTTGTAAGTAGCCCTTTGTCATGCAAAATGAAACATTCGGTAAAAAAAAACCTCCCAGTATATAAAGGACTGCAATGAGCTGATCAGAATGGAACATGTAGTAATTACCTATCACATTTAAGATGGCAAAAAGTACTCCCCTGACACATTTGAAAGTTTCCTCAAATCCCTCTGAAACGTCCACTTGGATCTTAAGTAAAACTTGTAAGTTGGCAGATTAAGGAAAAATTGACAATTGAAGAAAAGAAGGCAAGGTAGCCTTTGAGGCACAGAAGCGTGTCAACCAAACAACCTAATACTCTTCAAAAAATCCACAAACAAACAAAACAAAAAGTCCCAGGGAGCAAGTTCTTTCACAACTGAGACAAAACTCCATTTTCAAGAAACTTGTTATCTAACCCTTACAAATGAATGAAAAAAAGCCTGATGCCAAGCAGTACTGAGCAAAGCCACATTAACACTGTGATTTAAGATCCTGACTGTTTTTGAGAAATTTACACCCACATTGTTTGAAATAAAGACATGAAATTCTGGAAGAAATTCCCTTTCCTAGGATATACTAATTAACACATGCCTCAGTTAAGCTAGGGGACAAACCTTTAAATACAACATGCAGCTCCTGCAACAGGGCCAGCCTAATAACAAGGATTATGGTCTCAGAAACAACTCTGACCCAAATTAGCAGAGGCCCAGCTATCCACAGAAACCCAAACTACTGAGAAGGAAATTGGAAATACTTAATAATAGAGTTGTAAAGAAACAAGTTTGGCAGCACACTGGACAAACATGACAAGGTATTCGTGAGGACACCAGGCAGACTAACAGGCTCCATTTTTTAACTCAATGAAAAGACAATGAGGCAGACTTCAATGGGCTGAAAACTGAAACTGCCATGAACTCAGCACACTGGAGTCAATGAGAAAGAAAAAGACTAAATATGTGTATATGGAATTAGAAACAGGCTGGACAGTGGGAAGAAGCTTCAAAAGAAAATTCTCAGCTTTTCATGATGGTAGTTTTTGTTTTTAAACCAGCTATTTGCAGCAGTGCCTTACAGCTGGGGTGAAGAACAGCAGAAGCTGATTTTGCCTACGCAGCCAGCAAAAGCAATTGCACTGTTGTTCCCTCGCTCCTGCCTTACCATCCCCTCCAAGGATAACATTGTCCCTTGTTCTGGCATTCAGGCCTTCGTTTTTCTAGCTTTGCATAGAAGTTTAATTCAAATATATCCTAATTAGAAGTCTATTTCTACACAATTGGAAGTTTCCAAATTAACTTTTTTGAAAAATGCAACTACTAGAAATTATTATGGAAATATTTACATTTCAGAGACATTCTTGAACCAAACCACCAAGAACTACACAGCTAAGTTATCAGCAAATCCTCAGTCAATATTATTTTATGTCTGACTACAGCTAAGCTTTATTTGATTCCAAAGAAGGCCAGTACTTATCAGGGTATTTTGTAATTTACCAAGAGGTGTCACTTCTAGTCAGGAAGTCTCCTCACCAGGACCTTACAGAAAATGGTTCTGCAGGCTGATAAAAGTCAACCGGCGATTTAGCTCCGGTTCATCAGAATTCTACACACGCCACAATTATCTACTTACTTAAAGGAAGTGTTGGCTTCTGGCCAAAGAGTTTCAGGTCTTTGTCTTGGCTAGAACTAGGGCTCACTTTCCCAGTTTGGAGTACGTCAGTACTTTTAAATCCCTTGATTTGAGGAAAACAAAACCCTTATAAAGTTTTGGACTTGACATGCACAGTCTTTAGCAAAGAACACCTCGCCTTCTAAGTACACAGCTTCAAAATTACTCATTCAGCTTTCATTCACTTCTAACTCTTTGAAGTAGCAGAAAAAGTATCAAAGACAGATTTGACAAAGCTATAAGATTCTTGTACGCAAGCATCCCCGCTTGACATTAAGCCAAGTAACTTAAATTATCACGCAATCAAAATAAGATCTGAACAACATCTTCATTTGTGAAGTTACATCCCACTTTCCTGCTAGCTCACAGAATAAGAACCCAAATGCCAAGGAAATAAAAACACAAAACATACAAGCCTCATTACGATGACAGCCAAGGGGCATTACCAGCAAGTTTTATTGGTAGAAGTGGTACAAGTCCTTTTCACAATAAATAGTACCAGACATTTTGTAAAGGCAGTGTTGCTACAAGGAAGACATTTGGAATCTCAGAATACAACTCCAGTGGAGTTTTCTAAGAATTCCCTTTCCCTTCCCATGTCAATATTACCATGTTTTTAAACTTAATGTATTGTAGTTCAGACAATGAATGGGTCCAGTTTATGAGTCTATGATGGAGCTGCAAGTATCACTCTAAAAGTTGAGAGTTTTCACTTTTTTTTTTTTTTTTTTAAATCATTACCACCAGCAGCTTATATTCCATAAAAAGAACTAATATATTAAAATGTAAGAGTAAAAACAACTCAAGTGCAAAAACAGTCTCTCTAAAGTTTGGCTTGTATTATGAAAGTTCTGAGAACTTGCACAGCTGCAAAATCAATTATTTAATCTTGCAGCTTGGACGGGGTACAGAAAACAGGAATGGAACAGAGGAGTGGGAAATAAAGAACCCCCGCAACCCCTGCACACTCAGCCACCTACCTTGCACTTCAGGAAAAATTCCTTCTGCAGTCTCTCTTTGGGCACTTTACTGTGTCCCACTGCGTGGTACAAAGAAAACTTGACATCATCAACCAGTTGTTTGGTATTCCACATGGCATTTAAGGATTAGATTTAAAAATACAACTATCATTTGGATGCCTTACCTCTCATCTCCAGCATACCACAGATTCTTCCCCCTTCTGTTCTTGAAATCACAGTGTACCGAATAACATGCTTCTATAAGTGGCATTTGCTATATAGCATCAGACAAAGTACTACAGGAAAATTAAAAATCTTCTGCAAGTACCATTTAAGATGTTTTAAGGTATCACTGTAACAGGCTTGTACGTTCTATTCAAGCCAGCAAACTCTCCCACCCCCGATCTTAGCACTGACTACATTTATGCTCAGCAAACCAAAGTTGATACACCCCAGTTCACTGCTAACAGAATAATTTGCACTACTTCTGAAATGCAATTTGCATGCTAGATTAGTAGTTAGCACACCTATTTCTGTTTACCAGCTTCAAGCAAGTTTCTACCAGCAGCTGGAGCACATCAACTTCACAGGGTCTCACCCTGCTGTGCATTCACTATTTGATGCTGGAATCATTGTAACTGAAAGTATGTTCTTTGAAGATGAACTGTAGTATTTGAAAAGTGACTTGCTAACCCACAGCAATTCTCTAGAAACATGGGCTTTAGGTCTCTGGGGCAGTAAATGCAATATGTTCAAAATGGACTGGCCACACTGCTGTGTCCCACCCCTGGGGGTCTAGTGAATGAAAACACTTGTTAATTCTGCTCCCTACTCACAGACAATTCTCAAAATCATGAAAGCATGCAGGATTATTAAACAATAATTTATTATATTTAGGAAGAAACAACAGAATTAGCACAACATCTATTCAATAAATTACCTTCCATTACAAAACTTGCTTAGTAAAACAATGAAGTGCATATGACATATTACATGTATCTGCACAACCCCACAATCATTCATAACAAACACTCCAGTGTTTATTACTCAGTGAAAAACATTAACCTGCCAATAAAGCAAGAAAAGATTCTAAATTTCATCCACTGGCAGATCATAACCAATTCCAACCGGTGGCTGTCTATATTCCTATCCTCTGCCTTCCTTCTTTCCACAGATAAATATCACTACATGCATACATGAAGAAACACAACTGATTCCCTCCATAGACCATTTTAGCTTGGTCTCAGCTTCAAGACTGACAGTACTTTATAACTTATCTTCCAAGGAGATTTGTTTCTTCTTGCAGCAGATAAACACTGTTAACTTTTTCAACTTGCCAAGTACTCTGGAGATTTGATATTAAGTGTTTATTACAGACCCCGGCTTTTGCTTTCTCTACAGAGAACCTGCCAGATGGTATGGCAATAAGAATTTTAAAAGCAGCTCATGTTGAGATCACCCCCTTCTCCCTAGAAGAATAATGGAAAAAAAAAATATCTAACTTCTCCATCAACACACACAGAAAGCTACTGGCTGGCCTAATTAAGAACTAGCGAAAGTTATTCAACAGAAACCAGTACTTCCCTTTGCTAACTTACAGCGTACTAGCTTTTAACTTTCACTTGAATACTGTAACCTGAGATTACACATAATTTCTTTAACATCCTTTAACATCTGGAGTTCCAATGGCATTCAGCTATTTGATAGCTTACTTGTGAACTTTAAGTCTCACAAATACATTGTAAGGCTTGGTTTTCATCAGGAGGGCACTATGTATCCAAGTAGCACCATGCTTCCAGTTCCAAGTGACCTGGCATTTCCTAGCATCTGGTGAAAACCAGAACACAGCAGCCAAAGCTTCTTGCTAGCCAAGTCTATCCTCAACTACTAGCTGGGAGGGCAAGCACTAATCCAGCTGTGTGACAACACAAGCCCTTGCTGGGGCACCTCTCCATTCCAAGCAACTACCTTGCTTACCAAGTCCACAAACAGCCAGGGAAAGCTCTGAAAGCAGCACCAGCTCCAGGTTACTGCTCCACTGGTAGCACCACACACAGAGGCAAAGAAGGAGAGGACAAGTGTTTCACTGCCCTCCCTTCATTAATTCAGAAACATTCCTAAAGGACATACTGATCCTTAAGGTCCCTTCCAACCCAAACCAGCCTATGATTCCATGACATTTAATTACAAAGCCTGTTGGAACTTATTTGCATGTGTGCTATTCTTGGTCTAAAATTAGAAAGCAGTTCTGGGAAAGTACCTTTTGATTGGTACATACATCAGTTCAACAGATATCTCTCTATCATTACATGAGTGAAACGTACATCACATATTTCTTCCTGTTCAAGTCTCAGACTGATGGAAGCTTATCTGAGGTTGTGCTTACAGGCTTAGCTATTATCCCCCAAACCTGTAACACTACAGTCTTGGTGCCAAGCCTGCTGCAGGAGTCTGAATTTACCACAAGCTTTGCACAAAAATAATTCCATACCTTTCTGAAGTGTGTCTATAGTCTGATATGCATGCCTTGCTCAATAAACACCAAACCAGACACCATGTGCTTAGCCAGTAACGACAGAAATGCAACATCAGACAAAGGATACCACTGCAACCTACTGCTATCGCTACCTGCCCACATTTCAGACAGTGCCAATTTTGCAATGTTCTACCTCTGGGTAGACCAAGGTCTTCTCTGGCCTAGATCCTAACATCAGTCACACTCTGCATTTATTTCTTTCATCAAAAGAAGCCAAGGTCTGAGGAAAACCATCCTCATCACTTAAAGACCTCCCACTATCGCCATTCACTGTTCTGCAAAATCAGTGCTAAGTCTTAAAAAAAAAAACAAACAAAAAAACAACACAAGAGAAGATAAGAAAGAAACCTAGAATACTATATTATTTTTTCTGATATCCGCATCTGATACTCCGGATGTAAAAAAAAAAAAAAAAATCTGTAAGTCTTCAAAACGGTATCTTAAAGTTCCATAGTTGCTTAAAGAAAAACACCCCACAAAAATAGTATTTTTCCTGCAGAATTTTGTTCTTCATACTACACACAAGTATTCAAACTCAGCATGCTTACTTCACTAGCTCAAACAGGACAGTCAGCAATTTCTTATGAACTCAGATTTTTCTTGTCTAACACAACTTATCGTCAAACTACTCTAAGACAAAAGCGGCCAGGCACAGTTATATTAATTTTCAAGAGCAGAAACACAACCCCTGCAGACCCACGTATAACCGTATCACAGCTGCCAGACGCAGCACGCCAGCACTGCCACTCCATTCACTAATAGCGCTCCTGCGAGCGCCAGCCAGATTCACACCACCGGGTGCATCCTGCACACACGTGAGGTGTCTGCTGATGGTGCCTTTGTTGTGAATTTCGGGGGCAGAAGACAAAAACGTAATTTCTTCTACTCGATCAAGTAATTCGGACCTGAAGAGGAACAATCGCTGCCGGACCAAAAGCACTGACACAAAGCCAGAATGCCTACAAACACACCCAGCTCCACAATCCAGCCCAGGAATGGAGCACGTGTCAGCTTTACCGCCGAAATTACGTGCACGTGATTACCACAAATAAAACCATACTTACATTTCGATTAAATTTCGTGAAGGAGTGATGCATATAGAACCTGTGCATGTAAACAATCGCGGTGTTTATCGTCAGCTGAGATCTGGAGCACCGAATGAAGGAAGCACCAACGATAACAAACGGAGATGCTGTTTCTACACGCCGCCTCCAGCCGGGCGCGACAGCCGGCCCGGAGCCCCGCCAGACGGGCGGGCAGAAGCGCGGAGCGCCGCAGCACGGGCACAGCGGCGAGGGGAGAGCGGTGCGAACCGCCGGCTCAACTCGGGCACCTCGCTACCGGATCCCAGGCTTCGCTCCGCTTTGTTCGAAGCCAGAAGCGACGCTCAGAGCCCCGCGAGGCCGCGCCGACAAAGCTCGGCCCCTCCTCCCGCCGCGTCCCCGGGCCCGACCCCCGTCAGCGGGCAGCTCCCGCGGCTCCCGCACACGTGCGAGGAGGCCCTGCCGGCGGACAGCAGCAGATAGCGGCGGATAGCGGCGGCTCGCGGCCCCGGGCGCCCCGACCCGGCCCTTCCCTCCCCGCCCGGCCCCCGCCGCTCGGATACACGTTGAGGCGCTGGCCCATGTCTTGAATGAGGTTGGCCGCCTGCTGCCGGTACGAGAGCTCCTTGTCGGCCTCCACGCCGCAGCGCCGTGATGGCGTGTTCTCCAGCTGCTCGCGGCTGAAGAACCAGCGCGAGGCCGCCGAGGAGCCGCCGCCGCCCCGCGCCGAGGTGCCCGCGCCTGAGCCCGCCGCCGCCATGACACTTCCTCCCCCTCCTCCTCCTGCGGCCCCGCCCGCCGGCGGCAGCGCCGCGCCCGCTTCCTCCCCTCCGCCCTCCATGGCGGCTCTCGCGAGATAGGACGGCCCGCCGCCTATCTACTCTCGACCATAGAGTTCGGCAGCGCCGCGGCGAGAGCGTCGCCACGTTCGTGCGCGTTTGAGTGGTGGAGCGTCACGTGGCCTGCGGGAAGTCATGGCTCCACGCGACACGCGTAGGCTGACCCCCCCCCAAGTGCGGCAGCTGCACCAGCTACGCAATCTCCGCAGCCGGCCCCTGCTAAAGAGCTGGTCTCTCTCTAGACTACGGAAATGACGTAGGCCCGCCCTTCTTCTCTGCTCGCTGCCCGGCGCTGATTGGCTCGGCCCTCCCCTCGCTCTCTCCGCCTGCCGACGGTCGGCTCGCGCCGTGTGAGCGCGGGAACGTGAGAGGGCGCGCGGGAGGGAGGGGAGAGCGGCGGGACAGCCCGGGCCGGCCGCCCGCAGTTACGTGTGCTGCGGCCGGCGGGTGTACCGAACAGACGTTGAGCAGTTTGCACCGAGATAGTCTCAGTAGCGCTTGGGATCGCGGAGTCAGTCAGTATCCGGGGAACAGACAGGTACTGCTCAGCGCTGGGGGCTCCGGGAGAACGCGAACGGAAATTGCGCTGGTTTAAGTGTGTGGAGAAATCTTATTTTCCTCTTAGGAACATTTAAGTGTCTATGAAAGTCAGTGCGCTACAGGAATGAGAGAGTTGCCATTCCCATCCTCTGGCACTGAATTAAGGCTTAATCTCCTAACGCAGATAGGGAGCTCAGAGCAGTGAAGAGCTCCGTCCTCAGACTCACGGAAACAGCGCGGCCGTGCGCGGGAAATAACGGCGCGTAACGGCTGGTCGGCTTTATTCCCACAGCACCGCCGCGCGGGAGAGTCGAGCATCCCTGAGAACTCAGTGCCATTTCTGAAGCGTGGCCTCTGCGGGATCTTCGGCTTTATTCAAATTGCTTTCTGCTAAGACCCAAAAATTCCAGAGCGTTGCCGGCCTTGAGCTTATCCTGTAAAAACAAAACACTGTGTATGTTTGTGTGCGCTCGCTCGGACGGGCGGGCAGATGTCTGTGTCCCAAGGCTTTTAGCCGTGCTCTACAGCACCCTCGTGAGCTGTGGTAGAAGAACAGAGTGCCTCTTTCAGCCCTTGCACAAATCGTGCTTTTTTTTTTTTTTTTCTTTCTTCAGGTCCAAAATCAGAGACTTCAAATTGAAAAAAACAAAAAACCCACCCACAAACCAAAGCACATCCAAAATCAAAGCAAAAAACCCCGCACCCAAACGGAAAGATGATACCTTCAGTTTATTGTCAAAATCGTCCATTGAATCAATCAGTTTTCCAGGTTCGAGTTCCCCCAGTGGAAAAGGGTAATCTGTCCCTAAAATAACTCTGTCCTGGTAATAAAGAAACACATGGTATGTTTTGTAGTAGCAGGAAACAACACAGTTGTAGGTGCTTTCTGGAATGTGTAATAAATCACAGGGAAATACAGATAAGAACACGTAAGGAGCTGGTGACTGATGAAAGTGAATGCGAAGGTAGTCCCTGGATTCCAGAAACAAACCCAGAGCTACAAAACAAAGACTCGAGTTTGTTGGTGAATTTAAATTTGAAATAAACTATTGTTTGTTTCATAGTCCGAAAGGACCATGAAAGCTTCTGGCAGATTTCTGCGAGTGTCCCAGGAAAGCTCTTTACCAAACACTAAAAAGATGCTTGGATTTGGATTCTTGAATCTGAAATTCTGAAGGACACATGTAGCTGAACGCACGCGCTCACGCAAACATGCATTTATATTTGAGAAGGACGTGTAATAAAAAATACCATTTAAAATGATCTTTTCCGTAATATTTCCAAAGGTGTAATAATTGCAATGTGATGTTCCTTAAATTGTAGTAAAATAGAGAATTACTACAAACATATAAATTTTAAAAGCATAGATTTAATTGGCATTCAGCTCCAGCTAGTGAAACCAAAATCTCATTTACAGATTTCATATACATTTTTCAGAAGTCTCTGTTTTTTTAAGTGTCGTGGCCTTTGGCTACAACTGGATATGATATTAACTGTATGAAACATATGTATGGGAATATGAGTGACATGATTTCATTTATTTCTGAAAGAAGCAGTCGGAGAAAAGAAAATTGAGTAAAAATCTACATGCATTGTTGCTGGTATCAGAGATGAAAATAAATAGACAGAGCCCCAGTGGATCCACATTGTGATAGGTTCAGCTCCACTTTGCATTGATTTTTCCTCATATCATCTGCTCTAGGGAGTGAACATTGCCAACTCACTTCATCTTATCAGAACTCTATTTGCTTTTAAGCTTAATCTCCTGCCAACGTGAATATTTGAAAGCCACGTTTTTCATTAAAAATATCTGTTTTGAAATGTCTCATGAATTTGAAGTCAAACTCATGAATTCTGAGGGGCTCACGGCAGTATTTGAACTCAGTTACTATTACTGAAAGAATATTTCAGTTATTGTAGTAACTAATTTTGACAATTGCTGGCTATTTACTTGATCTCCAGTAGATGTCACCCGAAAACCCCCCACAAAGCCTAGGCGATGCTCAGTGTAGACACGAATTCTATTGTTCTGTTCTATGTGGTTGTATTATACTTTATTACAAAAGTGTCGCCATCAGATTAGAACGGGGGGTTTATGGCCCTCTGTCTTCTGCATCAGACTGAGTGCAGATTACATGAAATGTATTTGGATGTGTGTACAGTTGAACAGCTAAATACCTTTTATTTACAATGTTCAGTTGGACACCGGGGTATTTCCTGAACATTTGAAATACCAACATATGCCATCGTTCAAAACCAAACCAAATCAATAAGCATTACAGCTTTAGAATAGATAATGGATTTCTTAGTAAAGGAGAAGAAAACCCAATACCTTCCCAGATGCTTAATAGTTAAGATTAAGTAGGCTGGAAAGGCTTGTGAATTCTTGTCTAAGGTTCAAAGACAGAGATCCCACCCCCTCATTGGCACAATCTGCATATGTTACTTTAGTCATTTTTTCCTTTTTCCTCTAGTTTAAAGTGTTTCACGCCTAATAATGCGGTCTATTCGTAGGCAGCAAAATTAAGAGCTGTCAAATAATGAGAAAACCTAGAAGCAGCATTATTGCTGCTATTTATTAGGCTCTTTACAATCTGAGCATCAGTTTGTACCCACCTATAGAAATGAGAATTGCAATCCTTGTCTTTATCCAGCTGGCCTTAGAGAAGTCCTCTAAGTCTCTGCAGATGAGCAACACTCCTAGTGTGTTAGCTATGCTAATAATAGATAGATAGTAGTTATCTATTATCATGTTATGCCAAAGGATATCAGTAAAGTTCATTTTCCATAGAAGACCTTAAGGCCCAGTACCTCAATAAAGCATCTCATTTTTAGGAAGGTGAACATGGCTATGATTAACCTCAACGAGCCCTTATACCCAACAGCTTTTTCACAGTAGTACAGAATCTTGAAATGAATCTCGGAGATTCTTTGGGTCCTTCCCCTTAGTGAAAAATTGTATTTGCTTCTCTCCTGCTGTCAGGATACATCTGCAGAAGAGACCAGATTGGTAGAGCCAGTTCAGCTCCAACTTCTGGACTGAAATTGTTTTTTACCTTCTGGTGATGGCTCTTAAGGAATCACCATGGGGAAATTTCTGCAGAGAGAAGCTGAATCATTTAATTGTCTGTCAACTTGGTTCTTTACTTTTTATACCCAGTGCCACTGGGGAATTTTTGTTCAGCTATATTCGTGCTGCTTCATCATGGGAAGTAATTCTGCAGTTTTACAAAATGACTTCTCAGAAATGTTTATTTTGGCTTCCTTAATGGGCAAGTGTCAAATTAGCCTGTACCCCAAAATAAGAATGGGTGAGATTAAGCACACACGACTCCAAGCTGTAGCTGGGTTTTAATATTCATAACCTGAAGGCCCACATGACGTTCTGATGCCAGGTAATGGCTGTTCCCTAAGGACCTGAAGGCACTGTGTGCAGATCTGTGCACACACCTCTGCCCTGCCTGCACAGCTCTTAGCTGTGCTCCAGAGAGCTGTCCTATTTCAGACCTTCAGCTCATGAAGTCACAGTATGTGTGAGACCCGATCACATTGTTTTTAGCCCAGAGTTTATCTATCTTACACTTGTTATTCTGCTAATATTTCATGTGTTAGTGACTCTACATTTGATTCTACATTGATTCTACAGTTAGGAGGAAAAATAGGATGAATATTAAGCTGATACACTTCTGTTAAGACCATCTGCAGTACTGTCACAAAAAATATAACATGTAAAGAGATAATGTCTTGTAATCACAAAAATTGCTGATGCAGTATTAACATGAGAGAAGCTGTGAACTGGAATGAAGACCAATGATAATAACCAGGAAAAATAAAGCTGAATATAAAGATTCTAGTAAAAAAAAAAAAAAAAATGCCATTCAGAGGGACCTCGACAGGCTGGAGGGCTGGGCTCGGGTGAACCTAATGAGGTTCAACACGGCAAAGTGCAAGGTTTTGCATTTGGGCCGGAAGAACCCCAGGCACCCGTACAGGCTGGGAGGAGTGGGCCTGGAGAGCAGCTCGGCAGAGAAGGACCTGGGGGTCCTGATGGACGAGAGACTGAACATGAGCCAGCAGTGCGCTCTGGCAGCTCGAAAGGCAAATGGGATCCTGGGCTCCATCAGGAGAGGGGTGGTCAGCAGGGACAGGGAGGTGATTGTCCCTCTCTACTCGGCTCTTGTGAGGCCCCATCTGGAGTACTGTGTCCAGGTGTGGAGCCCTCAGTACAAGAAAGACATTGAGATTTTGGAAAGGGTCCAGAGGAGGGTGACTAAGATGAGCAGGGGGCTGGAGCACCTCCCCTATGAGGACAGGCTGAGGGAGTTGGGCTTGTTCAGCCTGGAGAAGAGAAGGCTGCGGGGTGACCTCATTGCAGCCTATCAATACCTGAAGGGAACCGACACCCAGGAGGGGAGTAAACTCTTCAAAAGGGCTGACAACAGCAGGACTAGGGGAAATGGATCCAAGTTGAGGGAGGGAAGATTTAGGTTGGATGTTAGGGGGAAGTTCTTTACAAGGAGAGTGGTTAGGCCCTGGAACGGGCTGCCCAGGGAGGTTGTGGATGCCCCATCCTTGGACGTGTTCAAGGCCAGGTTGGGCGGGGTCCTGGGCAACCTGATCTGAATGTGTGTGTTTGGTGGCCCTGCTAGGCAGGGGGGTTGGAACTACATGATCCTTGAGGTCCTTTCCAACCCGGGTGATTCTGTGATTCTGTGATTCTGCGACTCTTGAAATGGTGTTATGTGAGAATATCAAGTTTAATGGGAAAAAGAGGGATTTAGAAATTTTCATAGTAATAAAGTGAGGTTGAAAATGTGACGTGGATGTTTCTTCAGGAATAAGGTGCTGTGGGCTATGAAAAGGAGAAAGAAAATGTGCTGCTTTCCAAGTTCTCCTAATTGTTAAAAGCATTCAGATTTTGGGGATCTGATTCATGGCTTTTCAGCCTGGTTGCAACAAGAAGTGAAATCTGCTGTTTGCATACAAATAACTCTCGTTCTGTTTCACTGTAAGGAAAAAGGAAATTTCATTCTAATTAAACTACTCAGTTACTTGGAATGAAATCTTGCTTCATAAGTAGTTTCATCGTAATGATGATATTTTCCATAAATACATTACTATCTCTAACAAGTGCATCTTCTTGGCAGCCTAATTTTTTTTTCTATTCTGGATATGAAATCTTTTGAGCAGGAAAAGTTTAAAATAAAGTAAAACAGGCATGGCTAATTATATTATCAGCACATGCACATGGCCAACTGAAATATAGTCATGTCAAAGATTGTATGACTTGCAGTCGTACGTACCAACCAAGTCTTCTTCCCTCCGAAGACAGATGGTTGCATGTGTTGTGTTCAGATATTTGTATGCTGTGTGCTCGTTCATGTGAAAAATTGGCATAAAATACGTGGTTCTGTGAAGGAGACACTGCACATGAGGACACTGAGAAGGCAGAGATTTAATCTTTGTTTAAGGTATCAATTGGTCACCCAAGCAGAGGCAAAGAAAGCTACATGTCATGAAACTGCAGTCATTTCATTGAACAAAACAAGACTGCTTCCTAAATCAGAAACAGATACTGGGGGCGTGCGCTGCATAGCACGTCCTCTCAGTATGAGAACATGAAGCTTTCTTGGCCCATTAATTCATCACGTTCACCCAATTAGTGGGCTACAGATGTTGCTACAACTGTCTGGTGGGGAATACAAAATAAGAGATCCCTTACATCTTTCCACTCCTGTTCAGCTTGATCATACCCACTTCACCTTTGCAATACTGTCATAGAATCATAAAATCAGAGTGGCTTGGACGGGAAAGGACCTTAAAGATCATGTAGTTCCAACCCCCGTGCTGTGTGCAGGGTTGCCTCCTACCAGATCAGGCTGCTCAGGGCCCCACCCAGCCTGGCCTTGATGCCCCAGGGATGGAGCACCCACAGCTCTCTGTGCAGCTGTGCCTGGGCCACACAACTCTCTAAGTAAAGAATTTCCTCTTAATATCAAATTTAAATCTCCCCTCTTTCAGTGTAAGACCATTCCCCTGTCCTATCACTATCAGAATGTATCTGGGTAGAACTTGCCAAATGCCACCTGAGTTAATAGCCACTGATGTTCCAAGAACTTTCCATTACAGACAGCTTATTAGCAGATCTTTTGACAAGTAAACTGAGTGGGCTTTGTTTCACTTGCTTCTAAAGTAACTAAGGCTGTGATATAGTTTCTTCAGACATTTTGTGGGGCTCCTCCTCCAAATCCATTTTTGATCCATGATGGATTTAAGAAATAGATGTTCTCCCTCTTTTCCTTATAGCTGTAGTGTTACTGCATGTGTATATACATATAGCATGTACATACACTTTGCAAAACTTCCCACACTATTGTTTCAGGCTGTAGATGTGCTGTCAGTGTTGAATTTTTCATGAATTTTCAAATGTAGTTTTCCTAAAAAGCAAAAGTACTGCAGGGAAGCTGCAGGCAGAATTCCAATTTAAAAACCACAGTGAACAGACTGAAAACCTATTGATTCCAAATGGAAGAGATTTGGGCTCAGAGTTCTAAAGTACAGAAAAGCAATTGTTTATTCTGCTTTATTATGTTTTGGCCTAGGCAAGTCATTGTCGTATGACTTCTAGTACAGAATTATTTCAGCAGCCTGCTCACAGTGTTAGAGATGAATATGGAAAATCAACAGTGACTTTTCTTTAGAAGAAAGAAAACACCTGGCTTAGTTGTTTTTTGAACTTTGGTCCTACAAGAGCCACTGATGACAGCAGCCTCATACCCAAGAAAATACTATGTGAGCCTACAAAGTAATGTGCAGGAAAGAGGAATGCAGTTGTTGACAAGATAGCTAATGTCAAGAGTTTATATTTCTGTTTTTGTTGTCTGGTGAGCTCTGGAGAAGAAGACACAACTATAAGCTTCTTGCTGATTTGTAGGTATCCATTATACTGTCTTCCACATTTTCTGGAACATTTAGTAATAAGAAGGAATCCTTTCAGTTACTAATAAAAAGAAGTTATTTGAATGGTCTTGGATTTTTATGATCCACACAGTACATGATTTAAACAGGCTGCTGAAGTATAAAGATTTCTTCATTTTCTACTCTGACGATCAAAATAGTGTGTGCAGGATCCCTACAGAGATGTGCTTTAATACTATCCTTTAATGCCTACAACATTCCAAGCTGAAGTACCAATTGATTTCTTCATATATGCTCTTGAAGAAGTGTGCAATTAAGCCATTTGAAAGTGAGGCTCCAAATGATTGTTTTTGCTTTGAGTCTCGCCCTAAAATCACAGGATATCCCATAAGGATCACTGAGTCCAGCGCCTGGCTCCACAGAGGACCACCCAAAATCCAGGTGATATCAGGGAGCAGTGTCTAAATACTCCTTGAACTCTGGCAGCTCAGTGCCACGACCACTGCCCTGCACAGCCTGTGCCAGGGCCCAGCCACCCTCTGGGGAAGAATCTGTTCCTCACATCCAGCCTGACCTGCTGCCACAGCTCCATGCCGTTCCCGTGGATCCTAAATCCTGATCAACCTCACATTAATCTCTCTGAACTAGGGTTCACAGTGGATCATTTCCTGGATTAAAACCACCACTTAAAGATCTCCTTATTATAGTAAGGAACATTACCTACACTGCATAAGCACTTCAGTTTGCAGTAGCTTCAGTTTTGATTTTTCTGGGTGAATATGCTATCTTCATCCTGCTTTCTTACTCTTCTCTTCTGCTATTTCATAGAGGGAATTAAATCCAGAATGTCTCACCTGCTTCTGGAAGCATGAAAACTCACCTCTCCTATTGCACTTGTTAGGAGCCTTAGTGCACCACGATCGTGGACTAGAGAGTCTGTGTAAAATGAACCGAGGTATTTTCTTGGATCCACCTTATTATCCATGGCACACAGATCGGGGCGCATGTTGAATCCATGGGAGATTCGCCCTACTGTGTATGGAAAAGTACCTCCTGCAAGGAGAAATTTTTAGCAACAGAAACTGAAAATATGTAGGAGGAAAACCAGAGAGATACCTAAGTTTTATTACTAACTAACTAGAGAAGAAGGGCTCTGCACCAACATTTTTTTATTCATTCCCTTTCATTCCCTTCTTTCTCTGTTTTCCCACTTCTTTGCTACAGTGACACCCAGATTCTTACTGCTCCCTTCCCATAAACTGCCTCCCGTCCCCCTTCTCACTTGCCTTAAAGGCTGTCGTAGCAGTTCAAGCACAGGCTGAAATATGATGGAAAATGTTTGTATGAGCAGCCTATCTGGCAGATATCCTCACTGTGCTAATAGTTCTCAGTGAGGGGCAGGCTTAAAGTAGTAATACCAGAAAATACAGTTACACTCTGCTGAGCCAAAGAACAGGTATATTGCTTACCTCCATGTGCAAAGCAAACTTTCAGCTTCGGAAATCTTTCAAAAATTCCTCCCATAATCATGGAGCAAATGGCCATGGTTGTTTCTGCTGGCATACCTAAGAATAAAAAAAACTTCATCAAGCCAACCCTTGAGTTTTAAATGTTATCTTCATTTTCTTCAATATGCCTTGGGCCTACTGAAAAAATAACAGTTACAGAGCAGCTGCCAAAGGTTATGCATTATTTCTGTTAAAGGAACACAGCCTTCAACACTAATTAATTGAAATGACACAGAACTAGAAGCTGAGATCAGCTGAATTCTAAGCCCACATTCTATCTTGACACCAAGAGGTCAGCTGGCTGGCATGGGCTATGGCCTGAACTGCACAGAACTGACTTGGCTTCCCAGTTTTACTAGGAATAGGTCAAGTTCTCTTTTTACCTGTGCTTCTGAGTTTCCTTGGTGTGGAAAGTGGGGCAGCTGTGTTGGTGCATATTCCAACACAGGTTTTAATATGACGTCATGTCAGTTCCCACAGTATTCCCACAGTACCTAATTTCTGTCCTTTGCATTGGGTAGCTTGGATACCCAGAGTTAGGTACCTAGCAACAATCTAGGTTTCAACATCAAGTCTCAGTTTCTGAGCACACTTGGTATATTTATAGTATCACCTTATTTTGGTGCATAACTGTAGACATCCATCTTGGAAATTAGGAACTGCTGGAGTTCCCCTCTTTTAGGGGGAAACAATACCTATCCAGCACAAAAGGGCGTCTTTATTTCAAGTCTGTACTGTACTCTCAGATGCAAAGTCTTATGGATTTATGAGGAAAATCTTTCAGATTATTAATGCTGGTAGGAAGATGAAACAATTTTAATCTCTTTTTAAGTCTGCTTTGTAGAGCCTCCTCTGAATAAGAGCGACTGATAGTGTACTAAAATAATGCACTCTTGGATGGGACAGTGCTTTTTAGAACATGCATCAATTGCATATTGTATATATATTGTTCAGAACATCTCCACTGGAAATCATGAAAAAGAGCAAGTTAGGGTGGAATCAATCTAAAAAATTTCTAAGTAGCAATTTAACATATTTCCTGTTATTCGGTGTCATCCTCGTTTACCCAGCTGGTGAGGAATAAAAAAGAAACCAAATTAATTCCCTATATCTCTGGGGAGTTTCCAAAGTACAAGTTGCATCAACTATTGTTGGTGTGAAGTTAGATTCAGTGTTTCCTCACCAGTCAACCCATTACTAGGAAATAGTCCGAAGGATTTCTAGGAAATAGTGTTTGTTTTTGCTCACTCTACCTGTTCTTCATTTACTTGTGTTATTTTTTGAGACTGCATTTCAGAGACAGCTGATTTTCCCCCAGTCATTTGCTCTCTGTATATAGGACAAGAGACAATGCTATATGCCATCACTACTGTCATTAATTTCAGCTCTAGATATAAAGTTAGGCAAACTGTACAGGCTTAACGAGAAATGCCTGCTGGATTTCCACAGCAGATATAATTGCAATGTTTCATTTTAAAGAAAAAGCGTGTCATTTTTCTCTGTACTAGTACAATCACAGCAATCTTGTGGGCATTCAGTGACAGTTTGTAAATATAGATTAAGCAAAATAAGTACACACCCACCTATCAGCCAAGGAAACCAGTATTTGGACATCCTTCCGTCCTGCTGCATGTCCCAGGGGTGTACAAAAAGGCAGCAATTTAGTTGTTCAGCGGCCTGCAGCAAAAACAAAAGATCTGAGTCTTTTCTTAATCTTGCCAGCATACATCGTGGTTTTTAGTCATGTTTTAAAGGTTTCCTGCAAAATCATGCCGAGCATTAGGACTAGCACTGTAAATAGGCCCAGAAGTAAGAACTGTAAGCATTAATTTGTTTTATTTTCTCCTCTGGTACCTATTCTGAAGTCCTCACTCAGATTCAGAGTTCCTTTTGAGAGTACAGGATTGGAGACGTGGATGATAATATCTGTAGAAAGCCAAGTGTTCCTCACACTAATGTGGTACAAAAGTTCTTTTTAATGTCAGTCGTTCTGCAGTATAAAACTTGGTTCAAGCAGGATTCTTTTGGCTTTATTTCACATACGAAGGTCAATTCTAAAAATGTTTTATAAAACCATATTTGGTGGTTTTGTACAGTTGTTCCAGGTGCATTCAGGAATCAGATCATAGGGGTTGGATGGGGCCTTTGGAGATCACCCAACCCCCTGCTAAAGCACGTTCCTCAGAGTAGGTCCAGGTCTTGAATATCACCAGAGAAGGAGACTCCACAACATCTCAGGGCAGCCTGTTCCAGGGCTCCGTCACCCTCAAAGTAAAGAAGTTTTCCCTCATGTTCATTGTTGTTGCTCTACATTTGTCCTCTTTTGCCCCCTGATTGGCTTAAAAAAGTCTTACAGTCCTCCTAATCCACCCCAAGTTAGACATGTAGCTGCGTTCGATCAAGAAACCATGTCCCCACAAATACAGTCATTCCTCCAAAACTACTGATAGCTTTGGAAAGAAAAGCAGAGGAACAACATAGGTTGCTGATCCTGACTGAATTATTTAAATATGTGCTTAAATTTAAATATGTAATAATCAGTCATTCATATGCTCAACCAAGATTTAACAGGTTTGTTTTGTCAGTTTTATTTCCGGACCTCCTCTTGTTGCTAAGGAGATTATCACACTTTGGAAAAAATCAGGTTTATTTACCCACACTTATATAAATAAAGATGCAACTTTTGGGTTCCAAGGAGTAATGGTTACATACATTTCTAAATTGAAAATAGCAATTCAGTAAGTGGCTTAGCAGACTGATCAATTTAATTAACTAGTGATTAGTCAAATGTAAGTACATGGTGTGAAAATGGGATTGTGCTGATTGCACTTGGGTAAATAAGAAACTTGGTATCAAACAGTCAGAGAATTCTCAGACTCTAATGTTATCTCAGTGGTTTGAGCAGGCTGGATTGGTGAATTCATGAATTAAATACATTGGAGCTGCACTCGTCTTAAAGTTGTGCAGTTTTGAATTAGTGTTCTTAGTCATTTGATGCCCAAGATGTGAAATAAAATTGGTGAGAGTCTTTTGCAAACGTTCCTTCATTTACGCTGAGCAGATTAGAAGGGTCCACTGTTTTAATGTATCTATTCATTCAGCTGATGATTGAATACGTATCAACGTACCTCTAGATAGAACACCATGTCCCAGAATTCCCCCAAATAAGGGAAGAAACATTTACTCACAGCATAAATATCATAGAGTTCTGGTGCATTCAGGTCCCACTCATTGACATGAGATCCTATTTGTACTCCTGGAAATCCAAGTTCCTTCACACACCGATGCATTTCCCTCACAGCCAGGTCTGGAGCTTGCAGAGGTAACGTACCCAAGCCTATGAACCTCTTGGGGTACTTTCTTACTGTATCAGCTAAGTCATTATTCAACATCTGGGATAGATCTAAAGTATCCTGAGGTTTCGCCTGATAAGATATTAAGCAGAATAGTACATTAAAATATAGTTCTCAAATGTTATCACCTTTGGAAGATATTGGGTAAATGTCACTGCAAACAGATCAGAGACAGGGCTTGAAACTGAAATTTACTTTACAGTTCTGAATGAACGGAAATCAAATTTTGCTTCATTTTAAATCCTCTGATTATAGGTCTTGGCTTGAATATTACATCAACTGTGTCTGCCTTTAGCACTCAGGAGGAGCGTAAGGCGGCCCATGTTGCTGATGCACTGAAGTATCTGGTCTGTTGTGTAAAACAGTCCTCTGTTTTTGTTCTTCCAAACGCAAAAAACGTGAGCAAATCATTTTCAAATGCAGCAATTAATATTTACCATCCTATCACAGGAGCTGAGGAGAAAAATACAAAAGATGTGGGATGCTGGAGCATGGTAATTTAAGAGAACACAGAGCAAAGCTCTCTAATATTTAGAAAAAGATAACAGTTACAATTCTAGCTGGAAACACAATTCATTTCCAGTTTTTTTGGGTTTTTTTGAAGTACACACTGAATGGAGACAAGTTCCATAAATACCAGTGTAAGATTTTGAAGAATTTAAGATTCAATAGCACTACTTATATATACCTAAACATTCAATCTGTATAATGTATTTAGAGCACCATATTGCTATGCTTTATCTTACCAGACCGTTCCTACATCTTTGATGCTGTGTAGGGAACACATTAACTTAATTTTGCCACTGGATTTTAAGATTCAAAGGTCTCTGCGTTCCCCTCCCATGGCACATTTAAAAGAAAGTGAGACAAAATCTTTGAACTTTTAATGCAGCCTGGTGCCACTTTCATGGGTCAGTCTATCAGTCCATCTTCCTGCTTACCAGAGACTTGTGCTCTGTGAATTCTTTCCCCATGCTTCCAGCTACCCCACATAAGATCCCCCACAGAAATTCTGTCAGTATCTCGTTCTTTCCTACTGGACGTACTGCAGAGTGGAGCCCTGCTGGCTCTTCTGATCTCTGGACTACTTTTACTTCTGTTTTTCTCAGCAGAACAATTCCTCATTTACATCTATGCTCCAGCAACCATTTCAATCACATCATTTACAGGAAGATACATTCAGTTTTTAATAAAAATTTGTAACATGAATAACAAAAAGTACTAATAGGAACCTACCCAGTAACTGAACATCACAGGGACAGTGGAAAGGACTTGGACTGTAACTCCTGACAAAGAAGAAACAGTTATTAATGTTTCATTCTTTTGATAAAACGTTAAAAATAAGAAAGCACTTTGGTTTGAAAGGTGGACGCATAGAAAAGAAAGAATGAAATAACTTTAGTATGGATACAATCTGTTTTTTTGCTAATTGAGAATCATAGTAATAAATCTTGTGGTGTATCAGCTTATTAGGATTGGAGTATTTTTGCTAAGGAGAAAGAAATTGAGAACTGCCATACTAACAATAGGTTATTCTGTGAAACCCTGTTTCTTCAAACACAAATCTGTACCATCGGGTGTGGAAGTGTGAAGAATGAGCCCACCAAACCTAGTAAACCGACAACGGAGTAAACAGCATACACTGACTAGGACTTCCAGTACCTAAAGGGGAATTACAAGAGAGAAGGGGACAGACTTTAGCAGGGTCTGTATGAAAGGGCAAGGGAAGGTGTTTTCAAACTTAAAGAGATTTAGGTTAGATCCAAGGAAAAACTTCTGCATGAGGGTGGTGAGACACTGGAACAAGTTGCCCAGAGATGTAGTGGAAGCCCTCGCTGTGGGGACACTGAAGGCAAGGCTGGACCAGGCTCTGAGCACCTGATCTTGCTGTGGATGTCCCTGTTCATGGCAGGGGAATTGGGTTAGATGACCTTTAAAGGTCTCTTCCAACTCCAAGGATTCTATGATTCTGTGACTTAACTAAACAGTTACATGCAAAACCATATTTTTCAATAATTTTAAGCCCGATTGTAGCACCATCTCATATTGTAACATTTATGCACATCTTTCATTGTGCTTTTAAAAAATTAACTTAGCTATAAGCAATAAAAATATTAATTCAGAAGATGGCAATGAGTGGTACTGGATTTGTTCAGCAGAGACTCCCTGTGTCTTTGCTAAAAAATGATGGTGTACTCAGAAGTTTATTTTTTGAGGTATGATTCTATATTGGTTTGTGTTACATAAATTGCCTTTGCACTGCATAGCTGGAGCTACGTGAACTGAAAGGAACAAATATGAGCCCCAGTCTTTATAATTAGAATGGCAGGATTGAGAAACACTATGTACTCCTTTATTTTCTCACTTAATTAACTGGTACCTGTGTCTCTGGAGTGCTACAATAAAAGGGGATATTTTTATGGCGCATGTCACCAGATGGTGCTGTAGCACAGTTTAAGATTATTATTATTACTTTTTTTAAGCAAGTGAGCATTGTTCAGGTGGTGAAGAAGTGTTGTGGTGCCAGTTTTATTTGGTTTTCTGATACATTTTCCTTTCTGGACAGCTGTTGCAAAAAGTTGAAGAATTGCTCCTATCTTTCTCTGTATCTACAGCAATTAGATGGGCAGAATTATTAGAAACTTGCCACTAGTGGTATGGGAAATATTTGAAAAGGAAAAAGCAGTAATCCACAAAATCCCTGAGTTAACTCAGGGAAATGATTACAACCCAGTCAAAGCAGCACCCATTCCCACTTAAATGTCTGATGCTTGGAGTCTGAAGTTCTTCTCCAGGTTGACAATAAGGCAGGTGAAAGCTATCCGAGTTGTGCTTTCTAGACTGCTTTATGTAATGTGTTATAGAGTAAACTTCCATTAGGAGACAGACCCCAAATATCTTCTAACATGCTATCCTGCTGGGAAAGTACAATAATGATCATGGAGGCCTCAATCTGAGAACAGATAATTTCTAGTAACCTAGCATCGCTCTTGCAAAAAGAATTTGGAATGACAGTGTCAGTAAGAATCAAGAAATCATTGATTTTTTTGCTCATTCTATCTCTCTGCAAATCTTATTTAGTGACACAAAGAAACCTGCGAGAAGATGAAATTACAGTTGTGGTGTGTGCTTCACTTTCTAAATCAGGAAAACTCTTTCCTGAGAAGGTAATGGTAGCAGTTCTCTAGGCTCACAGATACACAGAAACAGGAAAAATATTACAAAAGGAAACAATTAGATAAAAAAAAACCAGACTCCTGACATTTGGAATAAAAATGAAATGGCTTCCTCTTTAATGTACATCATGTCTATACCTGGAATGTCTCTTTCCAAGTCCAGATTCTGCAATCTGCAATTAAGTCAGCCAGTTCCTTATTGCATTAACAATCCCACTGAAATCAGAGAGCCCATCTGGGGAATAAATTGCTACTGAATATGAGGAAAGTTACGGGAACGTGTTCAATTTGAGTCTGAATTATAAAACATATCAGTTTTCACTGATTTTTAATGGATTTAAGCTAAGGAAGCAGTTTGATAAATCTTTTAATTTTGGTATAGCTATTAAGCACTTTCAGATGCACTAACAGAGCAGCGTTCTGAAAGAGACACAAAGATTTCGGTTCCTTTGCGGAGGTACCTGATAGGTTCATCTCTTTAATCCGCACTACTGGATCCCAGCAGTTCTCTTGAATAACTCTAAAGATCTTTCCATCCTTCATCATCTTTGCCTGTCCCTGTGAAATGACATTTTCGTATGTTATAAATATGACAAAGTAGTACACACTAATTCATATAGTAACTTTAATTTAGTTGTTTCAACTAAACTTTAATGAAAGTTTATCCCTAAATCACACACAAAAAAAAATGAATAACAAACCCACAAATCTAAACACAGTATAAAGCCTCTACCTGATCTACTGTGTACCAGTTCCCTAATGTAAAAAATACAAAGACAATCAAGGTCAGGAAATTAAGTATTGTTCCTTCTACTGTGAACATGGAAACATCCTTTTCAAACTTATTTCTTCGGTGGATTTGCCATCCGTCCAAAGATGGTTAGTGGGACAGAGATGTCACATTAAGCAAAAGAAAATATTTGCCACAGGTGTACGTGGCCACACGTCTGTATGTGTTTATAAAGACAGACAAGATGGTATTTCTGTTGGCTTAGCACTAATTGATCATTTTTAGTTGCTTGTTGCTTCTTTGGGGCTAAGTGGAAATAGGTTAAGTGAGAAGATCTGCACCACTGTGTGGATGTGGGAGAGGTAAACATGGCCATGCAGGAAGCTGGGAGAAGGAGACACTGAATTTGCAGTTGAAAATTGAAAGCCAGATAAACTGTGAGAACGCACAGCAGTTCTTTCACCTTCACAGTAAACACCAGCAAAGTGCAGGGCAGTTTCCTGCCCCTTCTGGAAAGGGAATTCTCTCTCTCCAAAAGCCATTTCACTTTTCCCAGCAAAATTCATCTGATTTAGGATCCTTAGAACACCTGTCCATTTTTCTAAGTGAAAACCTCTTCAACTAGAATATTCCTACAATTATGTTAAAACAGCAAAAACCTACAGTTTCACTATTCAGAGTGGAGCTGGGCTTCTGCCTCCATCTTCTGAGAAATTGGGCTGTTCTTAACCTTGCATTTGCTATTAACTTCAGACACCGCTCACATGAATATTTTAAAGCACTCTTCAGCAAATCCAGCTGTGCTACCTCAGCAAAATGTCAAGTTACCTGTTAGCTGTATCACAGTTTGTGAAAATGACTTGAAATACTGCAGTTAGTAATAACAGCTCCATAATCCTAATCCTCTGGTAATATTCTTCAAGTTCTTGTAAAATTGATTTTCCAACCTGACAGAAAGTTTTACTCTAGCCGTGCAGTCCATTACGTTAAAAAATAAAGATCAGCCCGATGCTGCAGATTGCCTCATAAATGGAAAAATATTTGGGGTGTGAGTAGAGAGGACAGAGTAGAACTGAGCTGCATCACATACAAATAGGTTGTGTGGCCTTTACTGGTTTTCTGCTGGCAGTATTTCTGTGAACACAGGTGAATTTTAATTCTTTCCTCAGGCAAAGCTAAAGCACAGCAGCTGAACATATACATCTCCTTCTGCTAATATTGGAAACGGTGTTGGACAGGTTGTAATTTCACCAGGAACCTTGACAGTGCTCATACATAAACACCGAGATGAACAGCAGTTCTCTGAATGCTGCAACAGGGTTTGCAGTATAGGAAGGTTTTAATAAGCCCTGTGTTGTTCTCACTAAACAGTTCACTGAACGGTTTCCTATTTTCCTTTGCATTAACTGATTCTTTGTGAACAAAAACATCCTACAGGTCAAGGCTAAACTCACAGCATTGCACGTGAGCAACAATAGGCTTGATTATGAAGGAAAGCAGAATGTGATCGTCTGAATAGATTTGTGCTCATGTCTGTCAGCACAGAAAGATCTGGCCCAGCAACAGCATGACTGGAAAATCAGTCATACAGTTATTGCCTCCAGACACTGCCACTAATCTGCACCTCACATCTTTTAAAGAAGAAATTACTCAGACACCTCAGCTGGTGAGAAGTTTTTCGCAGTAGTGAGAATGAAACATAGATCATGAAGAAATTTTTCAGATTCCAAAGCAATGGCTGCTGGAGCTGTGCTGTGCTATTCTTAATATTATCCAATATTTAAGACCTTAATTAATTTATTTGAACATCAAGAGAGAGAGATTTAAGAATCGAGTCCAGGAGGCTAATTTGGTTCAGTGAGCTGCACACATTTAAAATTACTGCATCACTAAGCTATTCAGTTCCATCCCAAACTGCCCTTCTTAAAACATGCACGTGGTTATTTTCTTTCATTGAAGCTTAAGGTTTACCTTTTAAAAAAATATCTAAAAAATCTTCAGAGTTAACTTCCCTAGCTTCATGCCTGACCAGGATTTTATTTTGCCATGCACTTTTTTCATGCAACATTTTCAGACAGAAGTAGGCTAGGCAGAGTTCTCTGCAGAGAATATAAGGCTATTATTGACTTGCCACAGAGTTCCTCTGTGAGCTGTTTTTAGGAAGGACGTTTAGCATGTAACAAACAGCTAAGCTGCTAAAACTGTCTCTGAGTCTCCCCTTCCTGCACCTACCAGAATCTCAGAAGCTGTGCCATCCACACTTTGATTCAGCAGGCGGCTTGTTCTCTCCTCCCATACCTGCTTAGGCTGAGATCTGAAATTTCAGGCTAGTATTTGTTTGCTCCTCATTCTTGGTCCCAGCCTTGATATCTTGTGGCCCTCTTTTATCAAAGGCTGTTAGGGATTTGTTGGCATAGCCTTGCATAGTACTGAACAATAGTGGTATTATTAGCTTGCAAGGAGTATACACTTCCAGAATCTCTGTATTGTTCCTGTTGTTCTTGATTATTGAAACTAATGTTTGTTCTCCTTGTCATCATAGCATTACAGAAGTTAATATTCCTCTCTGAAGTCGCTTCCATGATCAAATTCATATTTCTTCTATTAAAATACCAGTTCCCTTTGTTTTTGCTTCTCATATAGATGATCACATTCATCTAAAAGAATGCTGTGATATCTACTGTATGTTGACATGTCTTAGTAAAAGCAACTCGTAAGAGCTATCCATTCCAAGTGGTCAGATGATATTACAAGAAGCAGATAGTGGTTCCTACCAGAGAATGTAACCTGACTATACACTGTTTCATGTCTTAAGCAAGTTCTACAGAGGCATATTAGGACTTTGAGTGATATTAATTCATAAACATAGACCTACAGACAAATCTCTGTTGAAGACTCAGCCAATCATATTGCTACTTTGCTTTTTAATGGATTTCCTGGGAGCTTTTATTCCTGATTACAACACAGAAGTGGCACAGAGCACCAAACAGCCCAAACCTTGCAGTGATGATCCAGCTGTACCCATCCACCATATCCATATCTCTGTAAAAGAGGAGAAAGGCAGTGACCAGTTAGCAGTCTGCAATAGCCATAACAACCTCAGTTCTCACAGCCCTGCAGTCTCCTTATCCAGGAGATGTACTCAAGCACTCAGTGTGAGCAGCTCCACTGACATCAGTAGAAGTGAGAAAGCTAAACCAGGCTGTACCAGTTCTATTTGTAAATCTGAACTTTTAGCTTCCATTTTAACATTTTAAATGTTAAACAACATGTTAAAGTATTAAAACTGATTTCAGAGTGCTTAAAGTTGCATACCTCATTCAGGTCCTAATTGGAATAATATTTTAATGCTGAAAAAAAAGTTGTATCAAACATGTGGCAGTGTAAAAACTGCGTGACAATTTTTCAATCCTAATGAAGTGTAATCAGTTAATCATTAGAACAGAAATGTATCGATTCCGCTTTTCAGCTTCCATGATTCAGCAGCAGTACTGAAGGTCAGTCTCTCTCTATTAATATTTAAACAGCCAAGAGAAGCTGAAAGGAGAAGCTTAGACACTCACTGATTCTTCTAGAGATTCAGTTTTTAAAACAACACAAATGAAGCTTATTTTGTTTCATTTTCATTAAAGGTTAGAAATAATGAAATAGCATAATCTGAAAACATTGCTCAGAATTCTTATTTTCATTCCTATATTTTCCCATTTCAAAGGAAACAAAGTAGAAGCAGAGATTTCTTTCACTGAAGAGTAAACAATGAATAGAGCCCAGTGTGATAAAAAAATCGATATGAAAATCTACCATCAGCTTTCCCACAGTAGGTGTGCAGACCAGGCCTCCTGATTTCAGCCAGAGGTACATTTTACTTAAATCTAATTATTTATAGCTGTATATATGTACTTACATATGTAAGGTATTAAAATTTACGAAAAATGGTATGACAACTAACGAGAGCTGGCTCCATGTGAGTTCCAGCTACAAGCTGTGCAGAAAATGAGCCCCTTAGAGGTGCTCAGGAAACTTGTAGGCAAGAGGGAAACTCACTGCTCTGTGCTTGTACTCCTTTCCTTCTTTTTACCTTTCAGCTTTTAGCTGCATGCATTGATAATCCTGACTGAAGATTTTCCTTAATTTTGGTTCATTTTTATATGTATTATGGCCTCCTAAATTCTTAAATAATGATCTTGATAATAGAACGTTCCAGTCATAGATTCAAGATTTAGTATTTATCAGGCTAAAAAACAAAGCGTGGCACTATGTGTGCATGCTAGGATTGCCTAATTGGCCTTCTACACATGAGATGTATAGAGCTCTGTTAATGGCTTGAATTTTCAGACAGCTCCAGGAAATTCTGAGAGTTGTTTTCTATTCTAGGTCCATAAATAAACCTTTAAAAAGCTCAGACTTTAGAACTGAGGTAACAAAAACAAACAGGCAGAAATTCTAAAAATTTGGTATCAACCTCTTCAAACAGTGTTTAAATAAATGCAGCACTGGCCTACAGCTGACCTCGGGGGTAACAGCACTCATCTCATCCTTGACATGCATCCATGAGCATCAAGGAGTTCTCGAGGTGATTTCATCTCAGCAAATATATTGTCCTTCTGATTTGTGTATAGACAGAAAACATTTAAATCATACAAGACCAGAATAAAGGTGTTTTTTAAATAAAGGATTTTGCGCAAAAAAGGAATAAAAATGTGAAACAAGCAATAGTGTTTCTTTGCAGACTGGATGTTCAAACCCCTACCCGTTTAAACCAGGCATATTTGTTCTAAAAGATACCTGCCATCTCATCTGCATTATCCAGTGTATGTGGTTTTGTCATCAAGGAGCTCTTGTAGTTATAAATAAGAAATATGAATATTTATAAAGCCCTTCCTAGAGGAAAAAAGCATTCCCTTCCAGGAGGTTTTGGCCTAATAATATTACTCTTTACTCCTAATGAAGAAATAATCTCATGTGTACTCTTAATTTTAGATTATCTCAGTAGTTTTTTCTGAGCTGTGGTTTTAGTCTTCCTCTGCTCTCTAGCTAACAGCTGATACTGGACTGTCATGTTTGAAGAGAGTTAGAGAGACAGAGCTCATGCCTATGAAATGCTTACCTGAGAATCTGCCTTCATCAACCTCAAAATATTAAAGTAAAAAGAGATGTACAGTGTAAAAAAGTGTCAATTAGTGTGTCACATGCTAAGAGCATAGCTGAAATAATGGTATTCTTTTGTGGTCACTGACAGGCACAATGAAATCAGCTGGTTCCATACCACTGGCAGACACAGCCAATGCTCATTCAAGCTGCTGCCAACACAGAATTCCAGTAAGAGAAGAAGCAACAATGCAGCTCTCGCCTTCTCTAGTCTGATTTCATTAATAAAAACATTAAGGAGTTAAGAAAAATAGCTATCCTAGAATTGCAAACGATTTTGTAGGTATAAACAATGAATAAATAGAACTTCATCATGCAATCTTTTCAGTACCCTTCGTAGCTTTGAAGATGTGATGCCTTACGAGTCCAAAAGCGGTCATCCATCTTCATATTCAATGTGATAATAATTATTCAGGCAACAACTCTACAACCTAGCTCAGAACCAGACGAGTACATTGCCTTTGATAACCTGAAGCAAAGGAGTAGAATTACTACATGAAAGCCTAAATGATTTCCTTTCCATTCTCAGATACTTTTCACAGGATCATAAAATTGCCACTGGCAAGAATATGTTCATGCTGTTGAATGCTAATAAGAGTGCACCATGCAAAAATCCCGAGTTAAGACAAGTTGACTTACAGCTTCAGTGTTGTGACAACTGAGATTTGTATCTGTAATACAATATGCTGCTTCTTTCCAGCAACTGAAAATATAACAGATATTAGTAAAATAACCATAATCATCAGTTAGCCATACTTGGAGTTACCCAAGGCTATTGAAGTGAATGGCTCTCATGCCTTGGGCACAAGATATGAATGACTTTTGTTCTAAGTAACATTAATCTTGTCTAACATTTGCTTATTTCTCCATTTAAATTAGAAGTGAACACCATTTGGGAATCTGATGGCTCTGGTTTCATCAAGAAAATGGAATTTATGCTTCATCAACATATAGTTTTAGGTCTCAAAAAAAAAAAACAAAAAAACCAAACAACCACAACACACAAAAAAGCTAACCAAAACCAAGCAAAGATGTAAGAATGACACCAGTCTAACTACAGAGTGGGGAACACAGCAGTTTTCCATCTTTTCCTTATGGTGACTCTTGCTTTGCATAGTAATGTTATACAGGTATCTTATATCTGAAAAAGAAGAGATCTAATTAGATAAAAAGCTACTGAAAACAAGTATTTATAACAGAATCCTTCATTCAATGATCGTTATAAAATTACACTGCTACCAATGGCTGCTGCTAACATAAGACACTGATTATCTAAACTCTTATTACCTTTTTCAGGTCAGGCCATTCCTTAGGTAGAATGTGGCTATGAATATCAATTTTCATTTTGGAAGTATCAAAGGAGAAACACTGTTTCACAGTTTGCTGTGTAATTGCCACTATCCTCCTTGCCCCTGGTTCGGCAGCTTATTAACTTCAGCTGCTGCTCAGATCCACCTGCCGTGGGTCACGAGAACACAGTACAGTAACCAACCAGGGGAGCCCAGATCCCAGAGGAGTGGCTGTGCAAAAGAACAAAGGCTTCTAGCAGAAAGTCCATGGTATTGCATCAACTGCAGCTGGCTGAGGGCAAAGGGAGGAGTGTGTGTTTATATTGGCAGTATAAAGGGTTTTATTTTACCTGGAGTCTAAATGCAAGCTCAGCTTTACGAGCTGAAAATCATTCAAAGACATTGAATTAGAGTAAATGTATTAAACAGGCTGATTTCAATTTTCTCCTTTCTCTCTCTTAGGTTCTTACATAATTTGTAGCAAGCACGTGATATATACTCGGTAGGCAGTCATATCTCCTCGTCTATTCTCTTTTCCTTCCTTTGTATTTTCTTAAAAGTTACTTTAAAAAATTAACAGAAATACCAAATTATAGCCAAATCTATGCTCTGCATTTTTTTCCTTCCCTCTGATTATTGGTTTAAGCTGGATATTTATCGTGCCGCTGCTCAGAGCCTTTCAAGGGCTCAATATCAGGCAGGAGAATGGCTCAGCTTACTTTAGTAATTAAGGCTATTGGAGCGCACTAGCTAATATGGCAAGTGGTTTCTGCATTCTAAGTGAAGCTTAACTGGATCTACTTCAATTTTTTCTGTGTAATTACATCTTCTGTTTCACCCTTACGCAATTTAATATTAGACTTCTTTCCTCAAGATACCATTGACTTTCTTTCATGCTGCAGTTTTTCTCTGTAATTTATTTCTGGTATAGCTGTACTTCATTGTAGGCTGCTCACATGATGTCTTCTTGCTGAAGTTGGTTAACCATTTCTAGATTAATTTGTTTCAAATGAAAACTGCTGATTTTTCAAAACTACGTTTTGCTGCGAATCTTTCAAGCTGATATCAAGCAACTAGAAAAACAAGTTTTCCATTTTGTTTCAACCATTTTCTGACTTTGTTATTTTGTTTGGTCTTGAAAAGAAAAGAAAAAGAAAAGAAAGGTCTGCAGTGCATTTCTGTGCTTTGCTGTGCTTTCCCTCATTCAGAAAGTCTGCTTTTGGTTCGCTCAGTTAACCTGGGCATTCTTCAAGTCAACTGTAACACAGTTGGTTGCTCACTTGATTGATTGCACGCTTTTCTGCAACTTGCTGCAGACTGAACATTATAAGAAACAGGAAGCAGATGCTTTTAGAGCGTATATCCTACATTAAGTGGTACTGATTCATTTTCATAGGTAAATGAAATGGGATTGAAAACAGCAATTATTTTTGCACCAAGATCAAAACCAGTCTGTTCATGACCTGGCTGACAGGTCAAGCAGTGAATATGCTCTCTTGCTCCCAGGTGTGACAGCTATGCTATACAATATAGTACTGTAACATTAGTCTGTTGGCAAGCTAGATGCTTGTACATACAACTGCAGAGATAAGGAAGAAGTGTTGATTATATTATTAGGCATGTTATAGTAATATGATATTATTGAATAAAGATATCTTTGGAAGACTATTCCCCACTTAAGCATAGAAAGCAGAAGAACTAGTGAAGGAGAGGAGAAGGAAGATGTGTTTAGAATGTCCAACACATAGTTTCTTCTTTTAAGTCACAGTGTCTGAAGAGGTCAGCATTTCTTCAAGAAGTACTTTATTTTTTCATCTGTAAGAAAAGTTGTAGCTGCTAGTTGCTGCTCCCAAGACACAGCTTAGTTTGCAAACAGTGCCTGCTCCCACAGCATTTCATTTAACAGCAAACTTCACTTGGAAACCACATCAGTCAAAGGCAAAAACTGTATCTGTTTCAACTGGATCTCAGGGACATTAAGACATGCCTACATCCATCATGATCCATTAGATCAGCAGCAGAAGGACCAGCACTGGCTACAAACAAGAGCATCTTCTGTCACTCTTGCATCCCACTTTGAATGCATGGGTTTGAAAGATTGAATATTTTGACTAATATTTTAGACAGTCTGTCTTAGAACAGAAGAATGACTTATGTGTCTCAGTCTCTGTGGTATTTGTACCCTAATGCAACGTGATGCCTTTTAGCACAGCCCTTGCTATGTATCTCCATTTGGTTGGGAACTTCTGGAGTGTGATGCGGAGGTGAAGGAATTGCCAACGGGAGCCAGGGAGTCTGATAGATTTATCAGACTGCCCTAGGCAAAGGGAGAGGAGCTTAAATTCACTGTGCTTCTAGGCAGGAGGTCCTGACTGAATGGAAACTTTCACATGCAGAATGTCTGGGCCAACAGAAAGACATATTCTATCATTTGTGGGTCCATAGAACCTGTTAGCTGTCTGTCTCTGAACTATACTCACTCTTGGGCTACCCACAAAGAATTTACGTCCTAGAGCATTTGAATGAGATGACAAAATGCTGTGGCTTAACATGGATAGGCAGCAATGTCCCACACAGGTGCTCTCACTCCCTCTCCTCAGCAGGACGGAGGATGGGGAGAAAAGGAAGAAAGAGAAACAAGTGAAAAGGAGGTGCAGAAAAAGCACGACAAGAGGCACTTGCAGGTTTGAGATAGGAGCATTTTGATGAAAGGGAAAATTTTAAAAAAGGAAAGGCTGCACTGATGCTAAAGAAGAAATAACCTATTTTTATATTACCCATTGGTACGTGATGCTCAGCCACTTCTTAGGAAGCAGGGCCTCAATACTGGCTGTGGAAAGGCAGCCTTGATGCTGTGCCAGCACAGTAGGAGCCACATGGGTGAGATATCGATACTGCGCTGCAAGTGCAAAGCACAGCACTGTATGGACTGCTGTAGGGAAAGTTAGCTCAAGCCCAGCCAGACCCAGTGTAAAGAGTTGGAAAAAAAACCACAAAACATATCAGTCAGTGAGTGTACTTGCTACATCTGCTAGAGAGGAGAACTGAAATGTGTGCAGACATCTTCCCAGCCAAAAGGGGCCTCCTACATGGATTAGGAAGGAACATATGTTACAATAACTTGTCCCACCTGCCTCAGTATCCTTATGGTGCTAGCGTCTTTTAGATCCCATGCAGTAAAACATCCATTTAGTGTCCTTCACCAACTGAAGTGCATTCCTCATTATGATAAACTTCCCTTTTAAGAAACTTGCAGGGGACTGTTTAGGCCAGAGCTGATTTTAGATAGCCAGACCTAAGTCTAGCAGAGCTCTAGGGCTTTATCTCATTATAGGGACCAGCACTAATTGAAAGCAATGTTAGATATACTGCACTCAATGCTCATTTTCTAAAACTATGTAGCTGTTCTTCTGAAAGAATTACAGAATTTGAGATTTGGAATTTTCATACTGGGAACTGAGGTCCAATTCTGCCTTTTATTTTAATCTGAATGTATTTCCCTGTGTCTGTATAAACCATGATAGAGCACTCTTTACAAGAGGGTACATCAATAAACATGGGTAAACTGCAGACAGTGCTGCTATTCATCCAGCAGCCCATACCAAGACAGCCCCTTTGCAGGTAGGATGAACACAGAAACAAAGAGGCAAATTCAGGAGTCTGACGTCAGAAAGTCCTGAAATACTTGTGCCAATTTTCCAATCCTTACAATTCTGCATGTTCTTCTCTGGCATCTGGTCTTTAAATTGCACATTTGGTTGTGAAAAATGGCTGTTTTATACATGCACAGTGCTGGAAAGCCAGTGGGAAACTCGTTGTGCCCAGCAGTGAAAATGAAGTGCTCGAAGAACACGTCCCTTTGCAAATGAAATGAGTGCTGAGCAGCCTGTGTACGTTGGTTGCTTAGCAACAGGCTGTCCTTCAGTCCTGCTGCTGCTGCCCTGCTCCTTTGGGACTGCCATCGCAGACCTGCTTGGAAATGACATGTTTGGAGAGGATGCAAGAGGCGGTGGTTCTATTTTTTGTGTGGTATTAAATGATTAAACCTTTTCTATCAAATTAGCCTGCTCTTCACAGAACTTAATGCTCTTCTGGAGCTCCAGAGAACTCAGAATTTAGTGGAAGTGGAAAGGCTTCCCTTCTGTGGGGAATAAAAACAATGGTTATCACTTCTCTCCTAATAACAGTGTCTATGCAGCAATTTCCATACGTAGTTCTCAGAATGCTGCACAATGGATGTTATTTCTGTGAGACAAATGCTGCAGAACATAACAGGGCTACACCAGGAGGACATGTCCAGCCATGGTTACACCAGTAAAGCCCTTAACAAGAATGTATCCAGGGAGTAGGTGGCATTATGATCCCCTGTTCTCAAACACCAACTACCGCGCAATCCAAACAAGGGTTTGCACAGCTGGCTGGGCTGCGATGTCGGCATTGCACTTAGGTATATCTACGGAGTGCAGGAGCAGAGGCACACAGATCTCCAGTTTAGAGATGACATCAGCTCAAGATGAAATCATAGAATAGAATCATAGAACCGTTTGAGCTGGGAGGATCCTTTAAAGGTCATCTAATCCAAATCCCCTGCAATGAACAGGGACATCGACAGCCAGGTCAGGGTGCTCAGAGCCCAGTCCAGGCTGACCTTGAATGACTCCAGGGACAGAGCATCCTGTTCCATTGCTTCACTACTCTCATTGTGAAAGGGTAGTAACAGTAGAATGAAAGGGAATTTTAAAAGGGTAGTGACAGCTCTTCCCTATCGTACAGAGGTAATGACAGCAGTGCTAGTGTACTGATCATTAAATACATTATTTTCCAACAACATTAAATTTTATTATTCAAAACCCTTTGCAGATACAACTGAAAGAGCCTCTGTTTAGACAAACAGCAGAGCTGATGCTGGTCAATGTCTGAGTCAGTTTAGTCTTGCAGAGAAATGAGGTTTTTTAGTCCAGATGTAGCACGGTACTGCTGCATCCGACACTTCCAAGACCGAAGCTATCGAACTGCTGTAGAAGATTCACGGTTGCAAAAGCTCAGGATGATGCTCACCAGTTGGTCTCTCTATTAGATCTGCTACTACATCACAGTTATGTCACTGCAGTTTATAATGCAGAGGTGGCCAGGGCTGCCGATGCTTTTGGCAGCACACTGCATTGCTCTGTGACCACAAGCCCAGCAGGAGTTCTGATAAACCACACAGTGGTGAAAGCAAACAGTGCATCCTGTGTCCTGTGCCAAATTTCTGACCACTCCTGTGCTCTCTGCCACACAAGCTAAGCCTTAACAAATTCTCATTTATTTCCAGGTTTCTAAAAAATGCTAAAGTTTGGAAGCGAAGTGGTGTTCCAGAAAAAAATAATAATAAAAAAAAACTACTACCTTTCAAATGATACCATTATTTTCTCAATGCATTAACATTGCGATTCTGCAGTTAACACTTAGCATACATTCACCTTGCATAGGTGTCAAATTGTTCTGTCAAATACAACAATA